CCGCCTCGCCCCGCCTCGGCCGCGCGCGGCCCCGCCCGCTCGCTGCCCGGCTTCCATCCCCGCCTTTTCTTCGCTCCCGCCTTCGCCTCGCACGCATTCCCCTGACACGGCCTTCTCTCGCCGCGCCTCCGCCCGCGCAACGTCTTTGCTTCTCGCTTCCGGTTCCACCTGCAACGACTCTACTCGCCATAATTTACGAGATGCGCTGGCCGCCCGCTCGGCCGCCCCTATCTGATGCGCCCCTATGCTGGTCGCCCCTATGCTGGGTCGCCCCTATGCTGGTCGCCGCCTATGCTGGTCGCCGCCTATGCTGGTCACACTATGCTGGTCGCCTATGCTGGTCGCCCCTAGCTGGTCGCCCCTATGCTGGTCGCTGCGGTCGCGCCCGCTGCGCGCCGCGGCGGTGAGTGCAAGTGCATCTGCGAGCCGAATGCTAGGCAGTACGTAGTCCCGAGCACAGAACACGATGTGAGGCTGAAGGGATAGATCAAGCGTGCAACAAACCGCGTGAGCGTGGAGTACGCCCGGATCGGCCGCGCTTACCGCCGCCGCTCGCCGCCCGCTCGCCCGCCCGCTCGCCGCCCCGCTCGCGCGCCCGCTCGCCCCGCTTGCCGCCCCACGCTGGTCGCCGCGCTCGCCGGCCAGCCATCACTTGCCGGCATCCTTGACCGCGGTGGTGCTCTCTCGTCGTCCTCAGCCTTCGGCCAGGATATCCGCGCCTCATTACGCACGCATCTTCTGCCGTCGCCGCTCACTTCCTCGCTCTCGGCTCCCTTTGCCCGGTGGAATCCTGATCGCGCAAGTCCGGCCAGACGTATAACCGCTCGCCCCCGAGCTGGGATAACTGAAGGCAACGCGGCGCGTGGTGGTGGGGGGCCCTGCCACAGCCTGGCTTCGGCCGCAACTGTTTCACGCGCTTCGGAGATCCGATCAAGGATGAACCCCGAGCGCAGACGGACGGGGAAGCTAATGTGCTTTGGGCCTTCTCATCAAAAGCACCGGCGCCGCAAGCCCTTTCACCTGTCCTTTTACTTAACGATTGACAGCGTTTCGCTCCGACGCCGACGCACAGAAAAGAAAGTTAAGACAATCTGTTTTTTTAAAAAAACGTAATGCTAAAAAAAAATTGCTCTCTGGTTTGCCTTCTGGTGGTAAAATTGCCTCTGGTTTTTTTTGTGGCATTGCCCTTCCCCCAGCGTCTCTCTAAACGGGTGCCAGCAGAGCGCGCTTGCGTCATCTGCAGGTTCTTCCAAATCATAATAATAATAATAATAATAATCATATAATAATAATAATAATACATAATAACAATAATTAACATAATAATAAATAATATAATAATTGTTATTATTATCTCGTCCATTGTGTCTTTCAAAAGCAGGCTCTTTGCAAGCGGTATGTTATCCTTTCATGTAATCTACGAATATTGTGGGCCATGTTTATTCAACATGGGTTTTCATAAAAACAAAATAACCGCAGAGTCGAGTTGTAATCGAGCCTGAAGATATCATCAAATCTCGTTTTGATTTTGGTGTAGCGTGTAAATGATTTAAGATATAAGGAAAATAGAAGTCCCTGAACAGTCTGAACGGGCATTTTTTGTGATAGCTATGTTATACTTTAAAATAATTCATATTCTACTATTTATTCAATTTTTTAACTACTTCCTTTGAGAGTCCTAGAATCAAACCTACAACGAAGTGCGAAAGCTATAGAAGGACGAGTAAAAAGCCTTGTAACAATCTTTTTAAATTTTATCTATGCTGGTTAACTGTTGTTTCTGAGTAGCGGTACAGCAGTTTTGAAAGTCCAAGATGCAACCTCAAGCAACATTTGCCGTCAACAAACACCAGGCGATCTTGAAGTGTCGGAAAGTGCCCTCCGCTCGCACCCGCAAGAGGCCAAAGGTGTCACCGCGAATGGCGGGCGCAGCGTGGGCGATGGCGGAAACGCTGGCTCACTCGATGAGTTGGCAAGGACGGACGAGGAAGAAGCGGGGTCAATGTCTCAGGGCCCGCATCTGAAGAATAGCCGTCGTCCGTCCCCGACCGTACCTTTCGTCCGTTCTCCGACGTCCTTCCACAGACCAGTCTTTTGCCCGTCCGCCCGCCCGTCCGCCCGTCCGCCCGTCCGCCCGTCCGCCCGTCCGCCCGTCCGCCCGTCCTATCAGCGCTTTAGTAATCTAAGATGTTTCCGAGATATGCATGCGATAACGTGCGTTGTAGCGTAACGTGTATTGCAGATTGCATGTGCACCTGACGACGTCTTTATTGCATAATCTACAAAATTCTGTATTTTTCCTCTTAAATATGTGTGATGCACTGCTGGGGGTATTTCTCATTCAAATAGTTGTACGTTTCTACTTCGTGAAGACTGTCTTGTAAATCGCAAAAACCGTAAAATATCTTAGTGTGTTTTGTAGAGAAGAGAAACATACTATTAACCAATTAATTAAAAATAGTTATAACTACTTATTGGTTCTCTAATTATCTTACAATGCTGACTATTTAACTCTTGCTATTGTTGTTGCCGTTGAGCAACGAAATTAATCTATTTGATATTTAATTTACTTATTTTTGTAAGTAAGAAAATCTTAATTGAATCTTCAATCTTTGATTCAAGAAAAAAACAAAATTGTTCGTAATAAACATCTTGCGTAATGCTAACTTAAAAATAAGCTGATGATGCACAGTTTCACACGTTTGATGCACGGGATTGAAATACCAGTTCGAATACTAATGGAGTAGAAGGGAGCTGACTTTTTTGTGATCATTGACGTGCACCCGAGAGCAAGGTGATGGAAAAATAAATTCTCACAAATACGGAAGCGAAGATGAGAAACGCAATCGTGTGGTCTGCCTACACCTGCCACGAAAGCTTTTGCGCTCAGTTTCAACGGAGTTTTGGGTGCCCGAGGGCCGCCATGACCTAGTTAGAGTTGCTAACTGTTCACCGTCACACGAAACATTCGTTAGAGTGAGTACGATTTCGTAGCAGCATTCGTTCTAAAGAAGGCAGCATTACGACGACCGAAACGTTATGCAACTGTGGAGGACCTGGCGTCTCCACACCACTGAAGAACCCATCACGGTACACTCCATAATTTCCTCCATATCGTCCACAGTCCAACATTTATTTTGAGATTAGTTTCAATCATAATATTCAAGTAGTATTGCCAAGAAGGGATATTGAGAAGTTCTCTTTGGCAAAGGAAATAAGGTTATGAAGTTTTTCCGCTACCAGTTCAAAAACAAAATTGTAAACATTATTTTGTTAATACCACTCTAATTATGAATTGTAATATTATTTTCTTCTAATAAAAGAAAGTTCAGTAGACGTTAGTAGTTTGTTTGCATATTACCTAGAGCTACTAAGAGTAATGTAAAACACATGAAAGTAATTGTGGTCATGCCACACGGCTCTCATAAATCCACTTTAGAAGAAATAAATATCCCTCTAAATGTTCTGTATCATCAGGCCATCTGTTACGGCATTATTTTCAGTCGTAATCGCATACGATGGTGTATTGGAAAATAGCAACCTGCAGATTCGGAGTGAATTGTGTCGCAAGGTTGTTCGCGTTCTCCGATGAAAGTAAGCGCCAGTTGGAATAGATCTAAGCCACGAATTAATTTCCGATAAATTTATTACTGCTCCCAGATAAGTGGCGCGTTTACTCCCTTGTTTTGTGACGCAAATTCTTGGCTGGCAGCCGTAACGAGGCTGGGCAGCGGCGAGATTTATTGTGATGGTTTGCGGCCGTGCGAGGGGCGTGGCCGCATGGCCGGCGCGGCCTTCGCCTCGCGACGCCTTGCTCCAAACAGCGGAGGCGCCGCCAGCGACACTAAGATGCGATACGCGCGCGGTGGCCAAGGAAAGTGACACGTCTCAAAGAGGGTCATTTTGTAGGAGAACGGTTTCATCCCGAGCGGAGAAGTTTATTTCGCGCCGAAAGACAATGCATTGACAGAGTCCTGAACAACTGTCTGGAGGAGAATTCTAGCGACCGGCTGATGTGATCGGTAGTTTCGTCTTTTGTCCGACCAAAGGTCACATGAATGCCGGAACAGTGTCCTAACAAACTGGCCACGAACCGCGTAAGATCTTTGCTTCCTCTTCCTTGTCTTTCTTCTTCTGCTTATAAGCACTTGTTCTCACATGCACTACACTGACACCCATGTCGGTAGCTTAGAGCTTGTCTTGACTTGGGCGGTGCCCTTCTGATGGGAGGTACCTGGTTGGGGAAAATCCTTACAAGTGCACGTAATTCGGTGCTGGATCTCACCCGCCAGCAGGGGAGAAGAACCGCCACGGGCCGTGATAAAAACATAAACATGACACAGTACTAACTAACTTCGCTGATGATGCACCTGGAATCACTTATCAATCAATCAATCTACAAGAGTGCTGAAAGACTATATTGCTGTACAATTGTACCCATATATGGGTTATACCACATTGATCGATTGGCCAAGAATACATACCGACAGCCAAAATCGTTCGCAGCGACTCGCTGATTTCGAGTAAACACAAAAGGAGCAACTGCACGCAATTTGCAATATATCTCGCTTTATCGCTTCTGCATAGTCCACGAAAGCACAACTTCCATTGGAACTGTACGGTACGGTCTATGTCATATGGTGTGACGCGTTTGAAAACGTTACATAGTAGGTATTGGCCAGAATTTTCCGAGCAACTATATTTTCTTACGTATGACGTGGGCTGAATCGAACCCTACATTGCGGCACTAAATTATTGAAATATTTCTGTCACTATCATTAATTACAGCTACTTATACTTTCGCTCTCTTTAACAGTGTTTTAGTACCGACACTGCAATAGTATTACTAAACAAGTATTGCTACCAAAGCTATTAAAATTGTAAACAAAAAACACCCAATTTCTTTGTACTGACAATATGATGACAACATCCCTCATTTTCATCCCAGCCATTGTTTTAATAAGCATTTAATATGGCTGGTTTAGAATGATATTTACAAAAGGGTGGCTGAAATATCTTTCGCAGCTTTAGGGAAATTCTTTATTGTGTTTTTTTTTTTTGTTGAGGGGCAACCTACGAAAGTAATTGAATGTATCCGGTAGGCCCGCTTCAGGTGTCATTCACTTAGACGAGACCGAAGGAGTGTCTAGAGGTTTCATATTGTTCACAGTCACTTCATTGCGAGTACAAAGAACAATTGTACGAGGTTAAGGAATAAATTAGAAACAAGCGTGATATCGCAGGAAGAGTAAGAAGGTTTGTAGTACGCAAAAACCTTCATCAGACCGATCTCGTCTGACGATATCGTGGGTCCTGTGACAGAAATTTTTCCAGTACTGTTCTTGTAAGTTCTGCAGTCGAGCAGATCTCAAGGCCACGGACGTGGGAAATTATTTCAGTGAACGACCCTCAACAATCATGGTGGCTGAGAAAACAAAGAAAGTATGTTATCTCCCTGAAACACGATGTGAATTGTCAACAGACATGCTACGTGCCTGGATTGTAGGCGGATATGCACCGGCAGTGATTTGATACCATCACTTTCCTTTACTGAGAATTGCTTATTTGGCATCATTTACAGAATTCACGGAATTTCTCTTTGAAACACAAATGTTTTCTGGAGATTTTATTATATATGTAATCCCTGCCTATTAATGCTGTTAATGAATAATATACAGTGTTCCAGACCAGGCGAAAAAAACACTGCTATGTTCCAAACAACCTTTTATGTCTTTAGACATTCTTAAAAATCCTTCTCGTTACGAAAATATAGGCAATTATTTCTTGTACCATACTCAATTATCATTTCAACCGATTGTTCTCTGGTCTTTATTCCTAAAAGCTTTTAAGTTAGAAAGCCACGCTGCTGTGCCATGCGCTGTCTCAAGGTCGCGGGTCGAAGCAATCACTTTAAATACCTTTACATAGGTAATGAGGAAACATTGAGTTTACACACTGCAGTCAGCATGCGATAGCAAGTTACCGTATAGATGTAAAAGGAGACGCACTGATAATGTGACATATTAGGAAAAACTTCGATTCTGTAAGGTGAATTTTCTTCAAATTTCAATGACTCTGCACTTTTGTAGAAATTAGAAAATGTTGCTCCGAAGAGAATTAGGCACAACTCCTACCGAAAATTTGCAAATACAATTATCAAACTAAGAATTTTCAAAAGACGGGCGCACAGCCAGAGACAGTACGAACATTCCTGTCCCCCACATTTCGACGATTCCGTTCCTTGCCCTAAATACTCTCACTGATTTTGATAATTGGACTGCAATGTCTCCTGATTCAACATCCTTGGATTTTTTCTCTGCAGATACTCATAACAAGGCTAATAAATGTATAACGTACACGACGTTGCTGCACGTATGAACAGTGTTTTGACAAGTTTATAGATCATTCTTATTAGAACGCACGCCTCAGAGAATATGTACCGCCGTTTATTTTCTAATTGCTGTTTAAAAAGGAATGTACAAAGGTGTCGTCAAGCAATTTTTTTGCTACTTACACTTTCAGTGTGATCAAGAAATAAGATGTATATTTATTTATTTTTGTTGGGGAAACACGCATAAGATAGAAGAAACTTGTCTAGAATAATTCGTGAGAGTTCGTTTTTGTTTCATGACAAGTATTACCCATTGGAATATCGCATTTGTAAAATTTAACAATACACGTAAAATTTCCTCTCCTCCTCTGTTTTGTATGCGATATTTCAAAAAGTAACCTCCACATTACAAAAGAGAAAACGTGTTAAAATAGTATTTTCTTTCCATTCTCCCAATACGCTCGAATACGCTCGAACATTTGAGAAAAGATGTTGACATCGGCTCACCAGCTAAGGCTTACATCAACGCCCCTACCCTAAGTTCTATCAGCCATTTTGACCCCTGCCTACCACAGCTTCACGTTGCAATCAAAATATACGTCCTTCGCGTTCTGCACCCACTTGTTACTGCAGACTATAGCCACGTTTGAAACTCTTTGAACCGATAGGGAGAAACGGTGGCCAACAGATAACACGCTCGTTGCAATAGTAGGCTTCTTGACGGAATAACTTCCCCTCCACCTGATCTCTGGCAGTCACACTCGCCCTCACGCAAATACGATTGGCCAGGAAAAAGAATTGGTTATTTTGTTAGGATATACAAGGTACGTTCGAAAAGTCCTCTAACATGCCACGGCACACAAAGCTACGTCTATACCGAGATTTTTACACAGGAACTCCCCAATTCGTGGCTACCTCGAAAAGCATTGTGATAGGCGTTGGTAATTTTTGAACAAAGCAGACTTGTATTCTCATTTCTTGACATGCACAAGTACATCAACTTATATGATAAATTATACTAGTGTACTTTATGAAAGAAGTTTATGTCTTATTTCTTGACGTTCTACTTAACCTGGAAACTGGCTCTGTTAATTTCCCTGCTTTGTTTCATTGCCCACGCACCTATGCTGCGCACCCCATATCAACCTTTTAATCTCCATTCTTTCCCATTGTTTCACAGCCAGCTCCTACCATTTTTAATGAACTGAAATTGTTTGCATTCTTTTTGATGAATCTGATTGTGGAAATTAATTAGAACAGTATGCGTGAGGTAATTACACCGAACTGGGTATCTTGAGCAACAGTGAGCTCTCGTAATATTGATATTATCTTCGAGCAATTAAAACAAACACAACAAATGTTATTAAACCAAAGAGCACATAAACGTTTTAACGTATACATTTAGTATTTGGATTACGTTTATACGTACACAAATCAATCTCTGCTGTGGCACCCACACTAAAGTTTCAATTATGATCAATTCAAACAAAGTAGTAAAATACAAATATCGGAGAGAATTCTTTCAGATGGGGTATGACTTTAGTTTTCCGATTTCAGTTCTTGGTGGTTCGAGACTAATGATGTTACGCTGAAATTTTGGTAAGAGTTTGAATAATTATTTTCATTAAAATGAGCCAGGGGGCATTTTCCCTGTTCTATTCTTTAATATTTAATATCTTAATAATAAAGAATGTTTGGTGTTTGGGAACATTTTTTTTAGATTCACACGTGATTTAACCTTGGATTAAATTTAGATTGTTGTTGTTTCCTTTTCTCTGGAGGAGGGAGTTACCCCCTTCCAAGGCCATGACTAAATTCCTGTATGTACATTATTGATAAACGTGTTGCTAGGAACGGTTCTCTCCTGACTCTCTCTCCCTCCCTCTCTTTCCCTCTTTCTCTCTCCCTCTTTCTCTCTCCCTCTTTCTCTCTCCCTCTTTCTCTCTCCCTCTTTCTCTCTCCCTCTTTCTCTCTCCCTCTTTCTCTTTGTGATACACATTGGATTTATAAATGATACGCAAGTCATAAGTATGGATTCAAGATCATGTTTGAAAACTAACAAGCCTACCATGCATTATTCATCTTGTAACAGATTCTCGTCACTCGCTTTGCACATTAAAACTACCAATTATAATAACATTTTTCAACATGAAATAAAATGAAATTTTTCGCCAGGGTATGTTTTTGATATCCATAAAACATTACTGCTTTGTATTTTTACTCGACCGACACAAATAAAGAATTACGAATTTCAAAGAGTTTATAATATTTGAAAGCAAAGATGTTTTTGGACAGTGAGTATAATTTGTATACACATAGCTCCCCTGAGAAGGAAATGGTGTGTATCAAAATTATATACATGGGCATTAATATATCAACATTTGCGTTTATTGGCACGCAGGCTCCTCACCTTGATCATGTAATTTCTTACATGTTCTGATGATGGTCTTTCGCTTAATCCTATCAGTTGAATCAATTAAATTAACTACGAGGTTGTATATTAAATGAATAGGAAAACGAAGTTTACATTTAGCCTACATCCGGAGCTGAAAATCGCAGGAACCTTCCCCATTCTCTCTTTATGACTGACAGATTCGAACAGCAAAAAAAACCAATTCAGAATGGTCGCATCGGCCGTGCAGATGTAAAATATGAAGAGTAGTATGAAAATGAATAAAAACATGAAGAAAGGAAAATTATCTTTAAGATACTTCTAATGCAATTCTACAGACGTCGGATGTGACCCTGAAGTAGAAATGACCGACAGAAAGTTCTTGACCTCCTTCAGGGATTGCTTCTCGCTCCTTCGATCCCCTTCCTCACCCCTCGACGCCTCTGGCCGGTCCCGTCCATCCGCGGTGCCCGCCACCCTCGAATGTTTTCCGGGGTCTCAAAGAACTCCTCGGGGCGCGGCCTGAAAACAACAGAGCGACGATTTCCTCACTGTGCTTGAAATCAACATGCCAACGTGTCCTTAAATTAATAATAATAATAATAATAATAATAATAATAATAATAATAATAATAATAATAATAATAA